CTAATAAGATGTTTAAGCTAATTTAGAACCCACCTCCACGTAGTTCATTTGGGTAAACATCTGGAACTCTACTTTCGTCAATTTATTACGAGCCAAATCGATCGTTCCAATGCGAGCCACCGAGCCAAAGGTCCCTCGACCAATATCCGTAAGGGCATTATCGCTGAGAAAGAGTCGCCGCAGAAATCGCATTCCCCTAAAGCTATTTGCATCCAATTTCGCAATATTATTATGTGACAAGTTAAGCACCTTTAGCACCGAGTTCCGGGCAAAAGTGCCGCGACTGAGCTCGCTCAACGCATTGTGAGAGACATTGCACCAGCCCAGTTTTGTGAGATCGGATATATGCTGCGCCTCCAGCTTCTTGATCTTGTTGTGACTTATATCAAGCAACTCCAACTCCCTTAGGTTCTTGAACTGATTTCGTTTGAGGTTCTCAGCTGATTTCCGTGCAAATCGAGGGTTTTGAGTTTCGCAAAGGCTGAAAGGTCTCTATTGGCAGATCATTCAGTATTCCATTGGTCAGCCGCATGATGCCCAGACTATTGGTGATCTCTTGGCCAGCAAAGAGATCCTTGGGCAGCTGCTCCAAGGCATGGCCATCGATTACCAGTTGTGTGGTCTTGCCAAGAATCTAGAAGGTGTTTTAGAGGATACAGTAAGCCCAGTTTTTGTTAGTTTTTTAGGTATTTACGCCAAATCCCAGTTGTCCCACATGACTAAGATTCGTGCGCAGCAGATGTAGCTGCTCCAAGGTGTTGTTGACGCCATAAAAGACATAATCCTCAATTGTGGTCACCGGCGTCTCTTCTATAATCAGCAAACGTGCCTTGATATTGGCAAACAGAGGACCATAGAGGCGAGCTAGTGAATGATTCAGGTAAGTAAATACATATAGTTAATGACTGAGATGGATCTTACCAATATGACCCCTATATATGGTCAACTCCTCGATGGCAGCTCAAAGGAGGCCAAGTTCTGAAGAGCCACCGACAGCGTGGCCAAATTGGTATTCTCGCAACGCACATAGAGCCCACTGTCGCTGCCCTTTACACATTCGCAGGGGTACAAAGCCTTGGATCTGTTTAAGTGTATTAATTAATAAGATTATACAAATTTGTATAATCTAAAACTCACTTTTTGGGACACTTGAATTCTGGTTCGCCGTACACATATTCCGAACTGGCCACGGCCAATAAGTGCAGCAGAACAAGATTGCGCAGGCGTAGCTGAATCATGTTTTAAGGTGTCGTGTGTCGTCAGCGATCCAATTTAGCCATGGCAAAAAACAACTGGAAACCAAGTTTGTTGCTGAAGTCTTTGTGTCTTCGATCTTTCGGCAACTTAAAAACCCTTGATTATTGTGTTTTCCGCTTCAATGGTCATCAATTGCAAAGTTGCGCGTTAAAATACATTGCAGTTCGCGAACAAAGGTAAATATTTTCGTCTTTTCGTCTACCCACTTTTACTTTTTTCTCTGCTGGCGCAGCTCAACAGGTTTTCGGTCGACCACTCTTTTTCTCTGGCTAAGTGCTCTCTTTCGATACTTCCGCTGCGGTGATTTCTGTCGGATTCGCTAACCCGTCTACGTTAGCACTCGGTTCCCATGCTCACCAAAACGGATTCCTTGTTTATTGGTCATAATTAACACATTAATGTATTATTTAGCAACTTTTTCCGTTTCGGCGCGAATGTTCATCGATAGGTTCGCAGCGAGTTGGCAGCCCTGCCCGACAGGTCCGATAGTCAGCCTATCGGTGCGCCCGTACGCGCGAATGCAACCTGTTGTGACAGCTCGCTCGTTGTTAAAGCAAATCCAGGCGCAAAAAATAAATAAAAATTGCTGACGCCTCTACAATTTCCATTGTACATCCGCACAAGCAAACGTAAGTGCATTCGATGAGTTAATTAAGTGTGTTTCCGTGCGCCCTAGAATTGCGCGGGAGGGCCCTACACTTTTTTGGCATTTTGCAATTGAAGTGAGTGGGCATTGTTCACGTTTCTAGCCTCGCCGACGGGAGAAATACTGACTTCGCCCGTTTTGCCCGCCATCGCGGCAACAGCCAATCACAGGCCGCGCTACGCATACTGGGCAGAAAATCCGTGTACATACACGTCTGCCTGCTGTGGTATTGGAGCCCGGGGAGAACGCGAGTTACTCGCTGTATGCGGTGTTCATTATGTTTTGTTGCGCGGCAAAAGTGCGTAGATTAGTGCGATTATCAAATTAATCGGTTCTGTTTCCCCTCTCCAGTTCTAGAGAAAACAAAAAGATGAGCTACGCCGCTGATGTTTTGAACTCGGCCCACTTGGAGCTACATGGCGGTGGTGACGCCGAGCTGCGCCGTCCCTTCGATCCTACGGCCCATGATTTGGATGCCTCGTTCCGCCTAACGAGATTCGCCGACCTCAAGGGACGCGGGTGCAAGGTGCCGCAGGATGTGCTCTCCAAGCTTGTGTCTGCCCTGCAGCAGGACTACTCTGCTCAGGACCAGGAACCACAGTTCCTCAACGTGGCCATTCCCCGAATCGGCATCGGTTTGGATTGCTCCGTAATTCCACTGCGCCATGGCGGCCTGTGCTTGGTGCAGACCACTGATTCTTCTATCCAATTGTTGACGATCCCTACATGATGGGCAAGATTGCCTGCGCTAACGTGCTGAGTGATCTGTACGCCATGGGCGTCACCGATTGCGACAACATGCTGATGCTGCTGGCTGTCAGTACGAAGATGACCGAAAAGGAACGCGATGTGGTAATTCCACTAATTATGCGCGGCTTCAAGGACTCTGCATTGGAGGCGGGCACCACTGTTACCGGCGGTCAAAGCGTAGTCAATCCCTGGTGCACCATCGGTGGAGTGGCGTCGACCATTTGCCAGCCCAATGAGTATATTGTACCGGATAATGCCGTCGTCGGCGATGTCCTGGTCCTGACCAAGCCGCTGGGTACTCAGGTTGCGGTGAATGCGCACCAGTGGATCGATCAGCCGGAGCGCTGGAACCGCATTAAGCTAGTAGTATCCGAGGAGGATGTGAGGAAGGCCTATCACCGCGCCATGAACTCCATGTCGCGCCTGAACCGCGTCGCCGCTCGTCTCATGCACAAGTACAATGCCCATGGCGCTACCGATATCACTGGATTCGGTCTGCTGGGTCACGCTCAAACTTTGGCCGCTCACCAGAAGAAGGATGTGTCCTTCGTCATTCACAACCTGCCGGTTATCGCAAAGATGGCCGCAGTGGCTAAGGCCTGCGGTAACATGTTCCAGCTGCTTCAGGGACACTCGGCGGAGACCTCCGGCGGATTGCTGATCTGTTTGCCGCGCGAACAGGCTGCCGCTTATTGCAAGGACATTGAGAAGCAGGAGGGCTACCAGGCCTGGATCATTGGTATCGTCGAGAAGGGCAACAAGACTGCCCGCATCATCGACAAGCCACGAGTCATCGAGGTGCCAGCCAAGGATTAGAGAGAGAGAGAGAGAGAGAGAGAGAGAGAGAAATGGAACGGAACTCCAGGCGCTTGTGTCTATTTTAAGTATCGTAATTTTAACGTAACTGCTGCTCGCCTCAGTTGTAACCGCCATCATCGGTCTTTGTTTTTTATAAAAAAGCTTTTCAACTAATAACACAAGATCAATCAGTGATCAACGTAAATATGGACATCGCAACTGCAATACGAGTAAATAAAAATGGAAAACACTTGACTCTTTTGTATCGAGTAAACGAACGAGAACGCTTTTAATTTAGTGGATCCGAAGGGGGTTTAATGGGGATGATCTATTGTGAGCTTTTTTTAAGTAGACTTGACTACTTGCTGCAGCTTTTTATCACAATTTGAAATGCATGTTTAGGCGGTTTTATTAAATCCAAAGACTGACGGAATTCACAAATTTTTTATTTGCAAATATGTATTAAAAGTAGCTTTGCTAATTTTCTTATGTAGACACACGATTTTAAGGCCATGCTAATTAAAACTGGCTTGGTAAGTCAAATACACAGTTAATTTAAATATTTCGTTCAGAGTTCAACATTTTAATTTGTTTACGAGAACTTAACGTTAATATGTATAACAAATGGAAATGTTTTAAACACTTCTGAGACGTTACTTTTATGTTTATTGTATAAACTGAAAATGGGATATATTTCGGAAGTTCAAAGCTGTACATATTTATATTGCAAAATATACAATGTAAATCAAGCTTTTTAAATTCCTACAACTTATATTGTGTTTCAAAAGTGTATTCAAAATTCGTACTGTACTATACTTGTTCTCTTTATTGTTCGATCAATTAGCATTAGTTAAAGAGAGAAAAGCTCTTTCTGAGCTTTAGCAACTGAGAGACACCCCAAGATGCTCTCTGGTGGCAAACAGGTCCGAGATTCTCCTCCGGATGAGACTGTAAGATAGCTAAATAAACAGGTAAATAAGTTTATATTTACTTTTATAGTATTCTTCTCTTCTTTATTATTTCGTTAAGTTATAATACAAAATAGATTAATGGATATATTTTAGGAATTTGTAATCCTGTAATATTCTGAAATAATTGTAAAATTTATAATTTTGCGGGGTGTCCAAGAAAACTATAAATATTACTAGATTTTTCTTCAGTTACCACTCTTTAGAAAAACTATTATTTATAAGCTATTAGAAAACTTCTTAAAAAACTATTTAATAACAAAAAACATTGGCACATTTTTTGAATATATTCGAGATACTTTTCCAAGCGGTGGTTTGAAAAAAAGAAGATACTTCGGCAACACTGATGTGGGAATCGTATGGGAGATCGTTGGATGGCAAGTGTGGGATTCGGTCAGTACTGCACGAGCTAGCGACGCGTCAAGATCCGAATTCCGTTAACAGACTCACAAACTCTTACACTGCGCGATATACCGTTACACTTGTGCTTGGATCGAAATCGAATAATACTAATACATCAAAAAACACAAACACAGCCCCACCGAGTTTTCTCCTTACCATTTCCAGTGAGCAGCCGCAACAACAACAACAGAAACAACTGCGTTTTTGGAGTTTTGGAAAAGTGCACAGTGAGTGCTGCAATTATGCGTACAAGAGCAAACCAGAGAAATTGAGCAAGTGTGTGTGTTTGTGTGTTAGATCGTATGAGTGAGTGAGTGGGCTGATTTCGTCTATTGAACTGGAAAGAAGAGCTCAGAAAAAGCACACACAAACACCAGCGCAAACGAGTTTTCCCTACGTGTCGTCGTGTGGCAGAAGTACTCGCTTTTTTGAGGTGAAATTTGTGAAAAAGGCAGAAAAACTCATCCTAAAAAGAAATGTGTGTATCTTCTATCTTGTGGCGTAGCACCAGCGCTTCTCTTGGCCAGATGATTCATGTACACTCGATTTATTTGCCTCGCGGAACCGAAACAGACGGCGCAGTATTCAAATTGAAAGAACAGTGGCAGTGAACTATAAATAGAATTATTTGTTTTCATATACACGGCAAAAGTCTGAAGGAAAAGTGTTTCGGAAATTCGCTTGTATCTCTGTATCTGTGTATCTCCTAAACTTTCGTTTGAATTAGCCAAGTTCAAACGGCGTCGTTAGCTTGTTTATGCCCGCTTGGCTTGAACTCGTGGATTGTGTTGTATTTTGCCTTCGTATTGTGTGGGTGCCGCAAATTGGCAACTCAATAGATACAAAGATACACAGATATACAGACGCTCGTGCTAGAACCACATATAGATAATGATACATTGCCTATATAGTACATAATGGACGCATATATAGACATTAAATTTCGCCTACGTTTTCGTTTTCGGATTTTCGGTTTTTTAACAACAGAACGACGACGACAAAACAACACCTTCGCTTTTTTCGCCCATTTTCAAACTCGTTCTCTGGCGATTTGTTTATTTTACGATATGTTTGCCATTCATTGCCTACGTATGCGATCTCTGCCATTTCACAGCGATCGCCGATATTCTCCCCTACCAAAAACCACGCCCACTCCAATTAGTTAACCCAAGGAATGCCATGGAATACTCGTACTATATATAATTCGATTTCGAGTTAATGTAACGAACTTGGAGATACATTTTACGATAAGAATTGTTTAAAATCAGCAGATAATTCAAAAAATATTCAAGCAATTATTTTAAAAACTGTCAAAATGTAACCTTCGCACCCTTAAAAGAAAGAACAAAGTATAAAATTAGCATGCTATCACGCAATATGGTATTTTAATTAGATGTTTTTGACAAAATAATTGCTATTCTATTCAATTTAACCCTCGGAATGCCAGGTACTTAATTTTTCGTCGTATAGATTTTTATTTATTTAGTTCAACCGTTATATTATAAAGTTATTTTGCCAACTAAATTAAGCGTTTAATAAAAAAACTATATGTTTAAGGGATACTAAAATGCATATTTTCATACCAAAAGTATTAAAAGCAAAGTGATTCATCATCTTTGCCGTTTCCGAAACTCATAAAATTCTGGTGAAACGACCCCTCAAATATTTACTTTTGTTTTCAAATAGAAAAGCAAACCGTTTTGTTTTCGAAAAGTATTTTTATGTTTTTTAAAACATTCCATTAGGTCTTGAAAAGTGTATAATAATAATTTATTAACGCTTTTTTATATGCTACTTTCGTGTATTACGATACGTATAAGTAATATCAAGTATACGTAATATAAGTTCCTCGAAAAAAATGAGAATGCAACATTATAGATAATTATCTTGCGGATATCGACAAGTATATTGTATAAATCAGTCTTAAAGGAACTAAAATTAGGAAATTGTAAGATTTTAATTTGCAAAGATTTATAATGTTTAAAAATTCAAAATAGAGTAACTCCATTACATTATGTATACGTCATGTAAGCACACTAAGGGTTAATGTTAACTCAAAAAACTACCAGACAGCAACATGTTTCCGCAGAGCTTCGATCCAATCGACGTATGTATATGAGATCATTTTTGACCTGTGCCCATGTGTTGTGTTTGAGTTAGCCCCTGTGTGTGTGGCATATGCAAAAACAAAACACACGCTTTGCTCTCCATCTATTTCTCTTCGCAAATTCATTCTCTTTCTCTCTAGCTTCGTTGTTTTGTTTTTGTCGCCAAAAAGCGAGACCCAGGAGAAACAGCTAAAAACGTGCTATGATCGGTGGGTGGGTGCGAGGGAGAGAAAGAGACGCAGAGAGAGAGCGAGAGTGAGACAGGGACAGAGCTGGCGGCGGCATCAATTAGATTTGGCCTTTTATTTATATTATGTTATTTTATGCGTGTATTTTGCTTACGTGAGGTTATCATGCCTCGTTATTAGTCTCTGTAGTTCTGCTTGACCATATGGCGCGCAGTATCCATCAGATTCCCCAGATCCCCATTCAAAGGTGATTTATTTAGCGTCGTCGCCTTGATTTGATTACTTAAGCCAGTTCAGAGTTACGTTTCGTTGACGTTTAATGCAGTTGCTGTCAGAAGCGAAAAGCTTTTATGTCTCGCCTGATGACATCATCAACGGAACGAACGGTCATCCTTGTGTGCTGCTCTTCTATACTCTTCTCGCATTTTGCATCATCCCATCTCTCTGTCTCTCTATCCCTCTCCCCAAGGTTATCGCTGAAAATCGTTAAGACAGTCGCAAAAACAAATTAAGCCGAACTGAACACATACTTGCATTATATTCCCCCACATTATACATACATATGTACATATGCACCCAGACAAAAAGGAGTTTAAGGACACACCGAAAGTGAAAACCAGTTTGACATTGAAATTTTGACTTTTTGCCTTGTGCTTTGCGTTTTATTTTTGTTCCGCGTGAGTGTGTATGTGTTGGTGTTTGTTTTGTGCCAGTTCTGAAAATCAATGCATGCAATTTTTTGGATAATTCTCTAACCAAGGGTACTTACACTTCGAAGGTTATGTTAATTCCAGAAGACATTTAAGGGATATTTATTAAAAAAAAACAGTAACTTAAACCAAAAGATATTATATTTTTAATCAAATTTAGTTTATTATATATATTATTATTAAGATGGGAAGTTAACAATTAAATAATATAAATCTGATCTTTTGAAAGCCATTAAAAGATGTCTCTAAAAGTATGCAATATATTTTTCCAGCTTTAGGTTTTGTCGCAACCTTCTCATTACAAATAAATACTTTTTATACCCTTGCAGGGTATTATAATTTCAGTCAGAAGTTTGCAACGCAGTGAAGGAGGCACCTCCGACTATATAAAGTATATATATTCTTGATCAGGATCAACAGCCGAGTCGATCTAGCCATGTCCGTCTGTCCGTCTGTCCGTCTGTCCTTCTGTCCGTCTGTCCGTTTCTACGCAAACTAGTCTCTCAGTTTTGAAGCTATCTGAATGAAATTTTGTAGTTAGCCTTCTATATACTCTCACTCGTATATATGTCGGAACGGGCCGGATCGGACGACTATATCATATAGCTGCCATAGGAATGATCGGAAAATTTGTACAAAATTTTTTTTAACTTTTTCAGTTTTCAATAGAATGGGATCAAATTTGAGATATAGCCATTTTACTATACTCTACAATTTTGCATAAAATTTTATGAAAATCGGACTAGTATATCATATAGCTCCCATAGGAACGATCGAGAAATTAATACAATTAAATTTATAACCTTTTCAGTTTTCAACTGATTTTCATCAAATTTAGGTATAGGCATTTAATTTAAGTCTTAAATTTTGTGGTAAATTTCATGAAAATCGGACGACTATATCATATAGGTGCCATACAAACGATCGTTTGATGTGGAGGAAAAATGCAAATCAGTGAATGTAAAACTGCAAATATAATATGTATAGGTGAATGAAATGAAAGCAGGTATTACTTCATTGTTTTTAACACAAAGATATATAATTTGTATTGTATGGTTTTTTATTCATAGAAGTTCTATCTGCAAGGGTATATAAACTTCGGCGTGCCGAAGTTAGCTTCCTTTCTTGTTAAAAATCAATTAAGTCGGTTATTTATGGGAAAACAAGCTTGTTTTTAAAGTAACCATAAAATCTATAATTTACACTTTTACTTTAGACATTTTCAATTAACTCAAAAGTATTGTAAATTAAGATACTTAAAATTACTCTTCAAATGTGTTAAACAATAATTATTGAAACTTAAAATTTAAATTTATGTTTGTACGTTGCTTTATTCTGAAGAACTTACTTGAACCCCAGACTTTAACACCAACCAGAAGAGTCGCCAAAATCCGACCTTTGAGCAGAACTCTTCTGCCACTTTCCAGAGCATTTCATCTTCGGCTGACAGCCTCCTCCGCCCATCTGTGCTCGTTGTTGTTTGGCATTCCAATTTCATGCCGTGCTTTGTGTGCTCGAGTGATGCCCACTTCAGATGACTTAAGCCTCCATTAATGCGCCAAAAGTTCTCACTTCAGAATGCCGAATGCGGCCATTTTAATATGGTAGTTGCGTGGGTGGAAAAAATACTTGGGATTCTGTCGAACCGCCTTGAAACTGAAACAGATATCGAATCCACCTGCCTGACTGCCTTCCATGCGGGGTCACAATTTGTGATTACGTGTTTGGCAGACACCCACGACTCGCTTGAGTTACTCACACGTAGAATTTGAATAATTTATGAATGATATGTTCATTCTCATTTCCGTTTTAGCAAAAAACTAATTGGAAATGCAGTACTCGAGCAGTTCGGAAAATTACTCATCTACGTCAAGGGACAACAAGCCCTCAAAATGGGGCAGGGTAAGATTTACTGAGTAACTTATCCTTATTTTATTAATTTATATTAATTAATATTCAGAGCGACAAGAACAACTATGCCTATAAGAAGTCCTCCTATCAATACTCAAGCTCTGGCGACAACAATTTGTCCTATCAGAGCAAGACCCCCGACCAGAATATTGATCAGTTGGATGCCTTGCTGGAGGATCTGAAGCAGGAACGCCAAATCAGCACCAGAGATCGCGATCTCCTGCCCAGCAATGGCACATCCTATAGAACGCTGTGAGTATATCTGATCTCATACTAAGTTTAGTCATTTTTTAATTAAATATTTTATAGTGAACGCACTGATCCTTCGGGCACAGTGACAAGGACCACGCGTGTGGTTAAGACCACCAAACACTCGGGCTCTGGTGGCCAGCAGCCGTTTATCGATGATGTGGAGACCTTTAATCCCATCGATTATAGCACCCTGCAGTCTACGGCCAAGTATTCCAGCTTGAAGAGGGACGAATACCAGACCAAGGAGAAGCCCTATACGCTGGGTGAGAATTTCAATAAATTAAATTCCCATGTTCTTATTTACAATAAAATCCTCTCTAAATTTCAGCCCACTCTCCCGTCGGTGGTCAGTACGAGAGCAAGAAGATCTATGAGAGCAACCGTACCATTAACAACAATGTGGAGTTGCTGCCTGGAACCACCACGAGCACCATTCAGACTCTGAACAGCGGCACAACCATTGACAAGGAGCTGCAGGACATCGCCCTGAGCGATGGCATTCTTCCCGCTCCGGGTACCAAGGTGACCACCACTGTGCGGACCTACACCTACGAGATCCCGGCCACTGGGCCCGGTAGCAACACCAGCACCATTAACCGCACTCATACCAACACGCTCAACAACTCGAATACGCTGAGCAGCAGCTACAAGCTCCACGAGAGCCACAACACCTCCAGCCAGAACTTCTCTCAGCTGTCGCCGATCCCACATACGTCGCATGTGCCACAGACTGTCGTCTACAACACGGAGAGCTACTCTACTCTGAACAAGCCCAACGATCGTCCCTTGGTCACCAACCAGTCATATGAGATCCGTGAGCACAAGGAGACCACCACTCGTGGTGTCAGCCCACAGCCCCGACAACTGCCCCTAGGATCGGGACCGGCAGGAACTCCACCTGGTAATCGAACCGTCATCTACAATATCCACAAGACGGATCATTCGAACACGATCAATGAGTTGCCGCCACAGCAACGCTATCCACCGCACAGTCCGGCTCACAGTCCCAACTATGGTGGACCGCACAGTCCCCCATTGCAGCCGGGAGTGAATCGCTATTACTACAAGGAGACGGAGACCTCGAACACGGTAAACAGCATCCATGGCCCACCCAACGGAGCGGGACCCTATGAGCCTGGTCTGCCGCAATCCGCTCCGCTTAAGCAGCTGCCGCCCAATAATGCGTATCCACATTCGCCAAACGGAAATGGATATCCACCAAACACGTCAACGTACAGCTACAAATACTCCTCGACCACCAACACGAACAACCGGCGTGGTCCTGACTACGGCTCACCATCGCCATTCCCCGTGGATGGTGTCGAATATCCGGTGAATGGTAATCCTCCACAGCGCGTGGATGATCTAATGCAGTCCTTCTCAACGGTAAGTACATATATATGGTTAATAGATATTTTAACGTTAAATTAAATTTGAATAGAGGAAAGGTTTAAAATTAGAATTTAAAAGAGTATTTGAGTCAAGGCTAAACTATATTACTATATATTATAAAGTAATTTACACTTCAAATTAAGCTTACCAAAGCAAAGATAAGTTTTTGTTCAGTACAGTACAGTGTACAGAAGTCACAGATAGTATTGTTTGTAAACAAAGCCGCACGCTCCATAAAAGTAGTAAGTGATTCCCTATTGATATGGCAATAAATAATGTTCCTACTGAATTTATAACCGATAAGATTTATGGTTAGCTCAATTAACAATTTGATTTGACTTTTCTAAGAACTCACTGTTGTTAAGGTAGTTAACGATAAGGGCTCATTAGCGTTATGAAATTGATAATTGTTGTTACTCCCCCATTAAGTTCACTTACCACATATCTTTTGCGATTATAGACCACTGACCATGTGGATCGCGGGGATATCGAGACGCCGGTGCGTAAGCGTGAAATCGAAACCGCTGTGGCCTCGCCCAACCAGCAGCATGTGCCATCGGTTAACAAGGCCGGCAAGGAGGTGTACTATCCCCCTGGCCATGATACCATTGTGATGAAGCGCGAGGAGATGCATGCCGGCTCCGCTTCTGGGGTAAGTTTAGAGTCACTACATCCTTGATGTATTCTTACTTATAAGTCTCCTTTTTATAGGGTCGATGGGCCAAGGGCTCTGGAATGTATGAGTACGAGTCCGGCTCGAAGTCAAAGACGAAAACCAAGTCCGGTGGCGCTGTGGTGCCCGTGTGCCTGCCCCTCTGCTGTGCCATGCCCTGCTCCATCATGTAGAGAGATCAATTCGTAACTTGTACATAGGTTTTCTAATATTCTAACGCTAAATCCTGCCCTGCTCTAATTGCTCTCTACTATACATGTCGTCTAACTTCTATTGGGTATTTTTTAGCCTGCCAATTGGTTGCGTAAATTCTACGTATTTGTGTGTGTCTATATCTATATGTTACGTACGTTATTGTCTATGTATATAATTTGTGAAGACCGCGTCGTTGTTGTTATACTTATTTTCCGAATCCGGATTTGCAAATTTCGTTGCTCAAGCATTTATTTGATGCCCAGTAAAGATGCCCAGAAAAGTTACTCGATTGCCAATTTGTTTTAACTGTAATGCCAAAACACTAATAAATGAGCCATGCGGAATCCAGTCCTCTAGCCATTACCCCCACGATTACTCTATAAACCTACTATATATTATTCTTTTCGCCAGCGCCCCCGAAATCCCGACTAATCATATAAACCATATATAAGCTGCCACTTAAAAGGTAAAGCAGTCGTTATGGAGCCATACACACTATCCTCTAATACACGTAGTAACCATAATAACAATAATAAAAAACGAGATCTAACAAACGAAGAAGCAATGAACTTTTTAAATGGATGGACATGGGAACAACTTGCGATATTTCGTATAGTAAAAGTTCTTTATTTTGGTATAAATCGGTTCTGATCGATTAACAATTTGCATATCACAAAAGTAATATCTACATTTTCACCTTGAAGGAGTGTAGGTGTTAGGTATGTCTTTTTTTTCGAGAAGTCTGATTAAATACAAATGTTAACAAAATAAAACCCAAAAACAAAGATAAACAAAATAACAAACAAACACAATTGTATAAATATATAATAAGTATCATTGAGCACTGTTGAGAAGTGGATTGGAAGTGGAACGTTACGATTATTGCTACAGAGAGACGAGTTCTTATATTGGATTTCTGTTGAATACGAATCGAAGCTAAATGATGGATTAAAAAGTATATGTACTACGAGTATAGTTACTTGGACTTGCTACCATTTTACACAATATGTGTGTCTATATATATATAAGGTAGGAGGAGCTGCCCCCCTAATCTTGTTCTTCTATTTAAAAAGAGACTATGTTCGTGAAAGTAATGTTGTCCTTTGTACATACTGCATATTGCACATTCCGTCTATATATATTGCACAGGCTAGCTCTTGCGCTCGGAGTTTTTTAGCTCAGCTAAATACCAAGTAAAAGTCGGAAACTCCTTGATGCTATAAATGGCATACTTAATCGAGTTGATGCCGTCTTGTTCTATCTTGCTCATGCCATTCTGCAGGTTCTCATAGCTACAAGAGATTGTAATAAGTTTCCGACAAGAAAATTTCGAGTTTCCTACTCACCGCTTGGGATTGGCCTTCTCCTTTTGATGCTTCAGCATCTTGTAGCGGGCTATATTGACGGGATACCTTGATATGAAGAGATTGGCATGCTTAAGCCTATTGGACATATCATCGTCCTCGCCGCCCCAGCCGAAAAACGAGTTTGAGAACCCATTTACCGCCTGAAAGTGCTCACGCGTCATGGCAGATACACCGCCGAAAATGGATCGATAAGGCAACCTTCAAAAAAAAAAACCAAATTATTATACGGCCGTTTTCCTCCCATCTTATCTATGTTCCGCTTGTACTCACCGAAAATTCAGCGTATCTATCGCTACGGACATGTGCCGCGGCTGACGTGGACAATTGTACAGATTGCGATCGTCCAGTGGCAACAAATCCACATCGTGGAATATAAAGCAATCCCATTGATACAGTTTTAAGGCCTCCAAGTAACCAATGTTCATCATGGCGGCCCGATTAAAGGGCTTTCCGTTCGTCTGCTCCACAATGAAAATGCGATATGCGATGCGTTGGCGCATAAGGAACGGATGAATGTTGCGCAGGAAGACGGACAGATGGGCATATCGATCGCGAAAGGGCACCACAATGGCCACGTGATGTTGCGGATTGCAATTGTCGGGATGGAAGGCGCCGCCAGGGCGCAGCAGTGGTCCCAACTCGGCCTCAATTACATCCAAAGATTCTAGGGTGGTGTTGGGAGTGACGGGTCCACCTGCAAGAGAGGATTAGCTTAGCTTAAGTAGTGGCAGGACGATTCAAGCTTACCATCGCGAGGATCGGGATCAGTGCAGTTGGCTAGGAGAAGGGCGGAAGTGGATTTCTGTCCCAACGTTGGCAGCGGCTTGTGCGTGCTCAGCGGGAAACGCGATAAGTCTTGTGGAATGGAAGTAAAGTTTGCAATCGCAATCACAGTCAGTAAGGTGGAGTTGGGTGCACCGTGAAGTCCTTGGTCCCGCTCCTTTTCCTGCTCCCTCTCCTTGGACAAAGCAAGCGGAGCGGCAGGCAGCCGGGCTCCTCCACTGCTGCTGCTGGTGCTGTCGTTCCCATAGATATGCGCATATTTGTGCACGCGCCGAATGCTGCAGAGTGCAAGAAGTTAGCACATTTCCAATCTTATCGCTATATTCCAATATATACCTAAGCTTGCTGAGGGAGGTGCCGCTGGCTCCATCGGTTCGGAAGCCCACAAAGTTAAGCACCAACAATAAGCATATTGCTCCGACCAAAATGCGTATGAGATTCGCCTTTGTGAAGAGGAACATGGTCCACGAATTGCATCATACCTTTACCGTGCTTTCGGGACAATTTCAGCTTCAAAATATACCATAGTACTAAATATACAATAAACGGTCACTAGTGGTGGGTGAGATTGAAGACCAGTGAGGACAGTTTTTACGATAACTGATATCGATATATTGCGAAAAGCGAGCATATTCTATTTTTATGTATTTGTACCTTAAATAATTTAATATATTTTAATTTTAAAATTATTTGATGCATTCAAAGTAATGCTGGTAAGTGTCAATAATTGATTTATTTTTTTTAAGCTAAAAGCTATGTTTATAGTTTTTGATTAGCACTTCTATTGGTGCATGCGATGATTTAGGCAAATTGTTCGTTTTAAAAATAATCTAAAAAAACATACACTGCCAAATCTGCTTCGAACACATTTTCAGAAACAAAATAACGGGACCTTGACCATATTCCAATCAGAAAAATTAGGTTTCTTATTGAAATCTTTGTCGATAGCTTAACCAATTTAAAAGAGTCGTCGCTAAGGCGCGCAAATGTTTCTTTTAGTTAAAAAATATTTAATGGTTTTTATTTTATAAGCTACGACAGTGAATTGCTTGATAAAATATAATAAATGCGTTTTGGCTTAAGTTTATCTCAGACAAAGCAAATTTATAGATATTAACTATATATCACTAAAAAACTAGTAACAAATTTTAATAAAATGTATATTTTCATAGTTCTCTCGTGTTTATTGCGCGTTTTGGATCTGTTAAGTATCCCAAAAACTAGCGAGTTTCTGAGTGGCATTTGTAAATTGGGGGAAATACATGCCCCATGTCCTGGGAATGGGCCTTTGCTTTCTATCAAGAATAAAAACAAGTTACAAACACAACTGATGATTTATACTAATTGCAGTGTTATGCTGCAGGCAATCCCAGCTATCCTGGCAATGGCAGACGCAGCCCTCGTTGTCCTTGATGTTGATCACTTTGAACTGGTTCTGGTAGGTGTACTCGATGCGTAGTATCTTCTCATCGCCGATGCTTGGGTCATAGAAGCCGGGCAGGTCGCTCTGTAAATGGGGGTAATACTGTTAGCACATTGAAAATTTACTTAAATCGCACCGAAACATACCTTTGATGACTCGTACAGCTGCAGGGTTCCATCCTTGACCAGGCACTGTATTGGTATTGTAACGTCCAACGACTGCTCGGGCTTGAATTGGGTGCTGCCCTCCACTGTACAGCCGTAGACCGCTCGCGTCACAATCAGTCCCGTCCGCTCAAGCTCCTCGGTCATAATCCGATTGTACGTTCGCTGCATCAGATGAATGGCGGCACTCGCCTCCTGTCGCTTGGCCGTCAGTCGCTGCTCATTCTGTCGCTTCGTTCGCTCGACCTCGATGCTCTTGCGTTCCGCCTCCATGGGATCCATTACAGTCTTTTTGATGAGGAACCACGCGATTACCGGTGTCACTGAAGCATAAAATACAGCAGCGGGCACTATTTCTTCGCTGAGGTGAATGGGAAACACGTACGATTGATTCGAACGCAGTATTCTGAGGGATAAAAGAGAGGATTGAATTTACGTAAAGGTTACTCGAAGCTGAAGGCTTACTTGAATCTTAAGATGACACCTGAAGGCACGCCAATGGAGACCGTGGCCGTCACTGAACTGTACTTGGAGACCTTCTTCTCCACGCCGTACTCGCCCATGAAGCCGAAGGTTCCCACTCTGTAATAAATAAATATGGATTAATATCCGACTTTACCTTGCATTCTAAGCTCCCTACTTGGCAGCAAGTTTCAGTTTCATCTCGTTCTCCATTAGCTTGCGGGTGTACGACAGTCCAAAGTATATATGCGGTGTTCCAATCACAAAGGACGAGCTAAGAGAGTACTCCTCTTTGGAGTGATCAATCTGCGTGGACATGGAGGACTGCGAGCCGGCATTCAGCGTCAAGCTGCCCACTGTATGCTTGTCCAGCTGCACAGCCAGCGTGGAAAACAGAGCAGGTATCACTCCCTGGTCCCGGAAGTTTAGATTTGTGCCTCCGTTAAGTGTTAGCTTCTGGGTAAGAGTGCGGCCACCTGCAGGAAGAGTGAGTAAGTAAGAGCAATTGGAAGATTACACAACGTACCCTTAAGACCCAACAGGAAGCCATTTCCCGCTCCGGCGCACACCTCCAGCCAGCCCTTGTTAAGCAGTCGTCGCCCGGCTACCATGAAGCCGCCGCTGCCATTGCCATTGGACGAGTACAGGTTGCCACTCATAATGATCATGTCCTTGCGCGTCACCGGAGCCTCAATGGACTGGGCAATGCTCATCGAACCGATCTCCACACGCGGCATCTCCGTATCATCATACGGCGCAAAGATCTCCGTGGCATTTACGTTGATGGTGATGTTGCCGCGCGGATTAGTTCTTTGCTGCAGACGTCGTTCGGCAGCCGCCTGTGCCAGCCTCTCGTACTCCTCACGGATCTCGGAGGGCGTCTTCGTCCGGTGGACAATCTCCCAGCCTTCGGTGCGCAACCCCTTCTCGCCCACCGAGTCATAGATGGCCCGCTGATGGGGATCCGAGAGCACCTCGTAGGCTCGCTTGGTTCGATTGAACATGAGCTCTGCTTTCGTCTTGCTCTCTGGATCCAGGTGCTTGTCCGGATGGTAAATGCGGCTCTGTTTTCGGTACGCCGTATTGATTTGCTCCGCGGTGGCCTGGAATTCGAGGGGCAGAGGGATTAGCTGGCCTTAGGCCTTATCTCCGGCTGTGCCTTAGGTGACATAGCACTTACGTCCCGAGGCAAATTCAGAATGTGTAGTAGTTCTCCTCCAGCTCCGCGTCGGATTCATCGTGATCTGAAGCCATGGCACCTGATCTGTTCCCTCGGATCAGGGACTACTGCTGCTGCTCAGATTGGAAGCGGGACGGGAACGGAACCGGCTACGCACGGGCCTCACCGGCGTTTTATCTGTGAATTTGGGATTTCGAAATTTTGGGTACTTTACGCAATGATAAATTGATTGAATACATGTGTTGAATATACCGATAGTTGACGATAGTTTGTTTCTAATAGGGGCTTATTGCCAGCTGCGGTCATACTGCGGCGAAAAATAAATTAGTGATGTGAGTCGGCTTAAATTAAACTATCGCTTAAGCTCCCATTGCCCTTAGATTTTAACTAGAAATATCTTTGTTTTGTTTACTTTAAACATAAGAATTAACTTGTTTATTATTTCATTTAATTTTAAAGTTGACATGTAAGCCCTTGTGGAGTATATAATTTTAGTCGGAAGTTTGTAACGCTGTGATGGAGTCGTTTCCGATACTATAATCATATATATTCTTGAACAGCAGAAAAAGCCGAGTCGATCTAGCTAAAGAATGTTATAAGGGTTACATCGTTAAAATTTTCAAATATAATAACAATTAAAATTTTTTAAATTATTTATATGAGTATACAGATTTATTACCCTAATAAAACATAATAAAATAATAAAAATTAGTGCTGTTTTTTTCTTAGCTTTGAGATTTTTCAATTTCGAAAGTACAAAAATGTTCATACAAAAATGTAAATAAATATCCATTTAAAAAAGCGAATTGAGTTACCTTTCACTGTGTAATCAAACTACTGAGCTGCAAGTCAATTGCTATATTCAAATATATTATTTACAACGCCCCTTCGCTATTGAAGGAACACCACGCCCGCGCACAGGTTGCAACTCTAGCGCCAAAAACCCGCACCGCTGAACCGTCATCGAAATATCGATTACTTACCTTTCAGCTCGGGAAGAAACGTGCTCGTTCGCCGTTTTTCTGACGAAATTTTTGCTTTTCATTTGACAATTAGTCGTGTGAAATTTCAGAAGTAAATATATCCGAAAATGCTGCGCGTACCCAGCTTCTGCCCCGCATTGCCCGCCAGGCTGGCGTCGTGTCCTCGAACTTGAACGGAGCTTCTAGCATATTCCGCGTGAGTATTCCGTCCGCGGTGGCGGCGGCGACTATTATGTAAAGTGCGGCATGCCGCGGGAGTATCATGTTTACCCGAATATTCCATAATGAACTGCCTCTTCTCTTGCAGACTCTGCCGGTGCTTGCAATGGATTGTCGGGACAAATGCGCTACAAGTAAGTGAACTTTATCCCAGACTTCCCAAATCCCCGTTCCCTCTCTTATGTAAGCACTCGTAAACATAACATAAAATTCCAGTGGCCACTTTCATGTGCATCATTAGTGAAGATTCCCAAAAAAAAACCATGGTAATAGTAAAATGTATCCATAACTATGGAAACGTGGCTCTTATCTGCACTTGTTGCCGGCGGCCTTATCGGTGCTCCCCATCCATGTTCCTTCCTGTGTGTAACCAGTTCTCACCTTTGCAGGTCCGGCGAGGTCAAAGGTGCTGTTATCGGCATTGATCTTGGCACCACCAACTCCTGTTTGGCCGTTATGGAGGGCAAGCAGGCAAGTGATTGAGAATGCCGAGGGTGCCCGTACCACGCCCTCCCATGTCGCTTTCACCAGAAGGTGAGCGTCTGGTGGCATGCCCGCCAAGCGTCAGGCCGTTACCAACTCGGCCAACACTTTCTACGCCACAAAGCGTCTGATTGGCCGCCGTTTCGACGATCCCGAGGTGAAGAAGGACATCACCAATCTGTCCTACAAGGTTGTGAAGGCCTCCAATGGTGATGCTGGGTCTCGGCACAGACGGCAAAGTGTACTCGCCCTCACAAATCGGCGCCTTCATCCTGATCAAGATGAAGGAACAGCTGAGGCATACCTGAACACCCCCGTGAAGAATGCCGTCGTCACCGTGCCTGCTTACTTCAACGACTCTCAGCGTCAGGCCACCAAGGATGCTGGACAGATTGCTGGTCTGAACGTGCTGCGTGTGATCAACGAGCCCACAGCCGCCGCTCTGGCTTATGGAATGGACAAGACGAAGACAAAATGTGAGTTATTTATAATTTTGTATAGATATATCTTAGAATAGCATGGGAAACTTAAAAATACCAATTGGGGAATTTGGTTACTCCAAATAAGTTTTTCTGGATTGTTCTTCAAGTTCCTAACGATCTTTGCGAATGTCTGTGTGAAGACACAGCCTCTTATCTCTG